TGTGTGTGTGTGTGTGTGTGTGTGTGAGAGAGAGAGAGAGAGAGAATTTCACAATTTTGTTTGTAAGTGTACTTAAAAATTAATGAAACAAAATTTAAAAAGCATTGCAAATAACTATGATTTTATAAATATATAGAAATTCATTTAGTATTGACTGTAAGGTAGTTTTATTTTTTCTTGTATTTTTGGTTCCAGTCATGTTATTGGAAAATGACTGTCTTCATTTTCATAAAAAAGGGAGTTTCTATACTGAGAGGGGAGATATGACATTGTTCAGTATTTTGTATTAACACGGAAAAAGATAATGTAATAAACAAATGCTGTGATGTCAAAAGAAATAGCTTTTCATACTGTTCTTTGATTTCATTTGCTCCAACGCCTCCATTCATTATTAATTGGGTTGCAAAATGAACGACTTGCCAGATCAATTCTTTTGGGAGTTTCTGTCATGTTCAGTAGGAGGTCAAGATGGGACGACAAATCTTGTCAATAAAACCCAATGAAAACAGGTCTGTGTTCCAGTTGAATTTGTTATGTGCATTAGTTCATTTTAAATCAATATATACTGAATTTTCACAGGTATCAAAATTAGATTTTAGAAATTGATCTATTTAAAACGCCACTTGACAAAAGAAAACCGTATTTCCATTCTGAAAAATGGGTATTAAAACAAGATTAAACCTACTAATCATAGTTTTTCTTCAGCATCCAAACTCCTTGTATTGACAGTTTAAGATTGAATCCGTGTTTATTTTCCCTGTGAGAGGAGCGGTTTCTTTCACTGGAAACATCACAGGCGCCTCTCCTGCTGTGTCATGCCAGCAGATTTATTTTTAGCCAATATATCTCTGAAAGGTAGACTGGAACCTACCATCCTATACATGGGGCAGAGAGAATTGGGGGGGGTGCGGGGGGGGGGGGGGGGGGCCCCAGCACACAACATCACATCACACTCAGGACACACCCTGCCTACCATAGAGTATAGTACAGTGCAGTGCAGTGGACAAGAGGTGGTAGAGAGACGGTGAGAGTTTGCATAACAGGCAGCTATACGGCCTGTACAGAGGGAGGCATGGGACTGCTGAATCAGTGAAACTGCATGAGAGGGTGGGAGAGGCTAAACGGCAGAGGGAGAGGGAAGAGAGAGGGTAGACTGGGTAAGATGTACAGTACGAATCCTCTTCATTCATTTCACCTCTTGTTTGTGAATGTGGAGCTGGCCGTTAACCCTGTTTTACCTCGAGTCAAGAGACTTTAAATAGACTTTTAATCTCAGTGCCGCTTTAGAGTACAGTAAAGCCGGAACTGCCCCTTAACAGTTTCCAGCGAGCCAGAACAGCGAGGTAAGGTTTCAAAAATCAATGTCTCCGCTTTGTGTTGCAGTTGTTGTCTACAATGTGCCCAGTGACATCAACACTGGAGTAAGGTATACCTCCCACTGAGTGAAACCAGGGAAATCAAAAATGCATGTGTAATTTTACGTCATTTGATATTGATGCATGCGGAATAAAAGTAGTGTACATGCAGAGAAAATACAACAGCAATCTGTGCGAGTGCCGCTCAAAACTAGATGCCGAATATTCAGTAATAGAGGAGGATTACAAGATAAATGTCTTGCTGCAAAAATCCTTGCACTTTTTCCACTATCTCTGCCTGCTCTCGCTCAGATGGAGGTGGACGAGGTGGTGTGTTTGCCAAGGTTGTCCCGGGTCGCCGTGTGCGGCGGCACCCATGGCAATGAGCTGTCTGGGGTGTACTTGGTGAGAGAGCTGCTGAAGGTGAAGAAGGAAGTGATGGAGAAGAAGAAGGAGGAGGAGGATGAGGAGGAAGAGCCTCTGTCGGTGTTGATGGTGCTGTCGAACCCCCGGGCCGTGCAGCAGTGCCGCAGATACGTCGACACCGACCTCAACCGCTGCTTCACTCACGCCACCCTCAAGTAAGGCGAGGAGAGGTGACGCTGCTCGCGGTTACTGTTGTGGCGACGATGATGAGATTGTTTCTCTGTCTCCCAGTGGTCCCACATCAGGCGCTGTCCCCTACGAGCTGATCAGATCCCGGGAGCTGAACGCCACGCTGGGCCCCAAAGGAAGTTCCGCGGCAGTGGATCTCGTTTGCGACCTCCACAACACCACGGCCAACATGGGCCTGTGCCTCATCGCGTACTCCGACTGCGACTGGATCTGCCTGCACATATTCAGACACCTGCAGGTAAGCGCAAACTGTTCCTACTCACTCAAGTCAAATCGGTTCACCCTGCATGTCTGAGGAACCTTACAGATTTGGGTACACTTAAATGGAACAAAGAACTGAGATCGGTAATGCCGATGAAATCTAAAGTTAAAGAGTGACTTGTCATTTTCAGAGGAAGATGCCAGATATACCAATGAGGTACATTCATTTTGAAGTCTCCAATAAAGAATCGTACTCCCTTGATTCAGTGGGGAAGCATGGCTTTGGTGAGTTTTTCATAGTTACAATAACGCTAGTTTATCAAAAGCAAACGCTATGCTTGATAATCTGTGATATTTGTCATCTAAAAGCCATGGAGATCGGCCCCCAGCCCCACAGTGTGGTGAGGTCAAACATCTATACGGCAATGAAAGATGGCGTGCAGCACATGCTCGATTGGGTTTGTTTCTTCAACTCAGGTACAATTTGAGTATTTTTGCTTCGCAACTCCAAAATGCCACAAGTCATGCAAACTTGTGTGCGTCTTTTAAGCCCTTTTTGGTCTCGTTTTAAACCCTTCTTTTATTTTCAGGTACTATTTTTGAAGGAGAGTGCGTGGATGTGTTCACCATGATTAAACACATCGACTACCCAAGAGACAGTGAGACTCACAACATCACAGCAGCCATTCATCCTCAGCTCCAGGTACAGCCAGAAACCTAATTGTACCTTCAAGCTTTATTGTCCTTCGGCAGATTTGAATGTCAGCTTAATTATATGGGTTTGAATAGACCAGGGAGTGGAATAAATAACAAGACTAACAATATGAATATACCCAACCTAACACTATACAACAGCCAAACAAAATAGACAGCCTTTTGACTTGAGAAAAACAAAATCAATTGTGTGCTTCGTCGCAGGTGATATAATTATTTAACAATGAAAATGCCACTGTGTGTGTGCGTGCGTGGTGTTGTAAACATTAATCATAACACAGGGGAGGGCCTTTAACAAAGTCATGAAACTGCATGTCAACATGGCTTTCATACCAGCAACTGTAATTATCAGAAATGCCTCATATGTCTGTAATTTATTTGAATAACCTTAATAATCCTTAAAGGGTAATCCACTGGCTCCCAACCTGGGGTTCGCGAGGCCTCCCCGATTTTAAGAGGTGTGAGACCGCTTACTGTAAAAATATACAGTTGGCCTATATCCATTCATTTCTGCGTCGAAAACTAAATGAAATTCTTATTTTAAAAGTTTGGATTATTGTTAAGGTTATAAACCTTAAAAGATCTCACAGGATAAAGGCACGGTGAACACAGTGCTGACGGAAAGGGTTAAGAAACAGGAAAAATGTGACAGTGATGTGATGTGTTGATCACACTGCAGCTGGTGCTGCATTATCAGCACAGAACAGGAATAGGAACAGGTGGGTTAAGTTTAAAGTAGAAAAGTACTTTGTTATTGTCGGGGACTGACATAAATAACCGGCTTTGTGAACTCCACCTCATGGCTTCTTTTGAAAATGGAACAAATGTTTAGGGTGGTTCAGTATGTGGTGTCCTGTGAGTCAGTGGCATTTGAACTTTTACTGCAGGTTAATGACAAACACACACAAACGACCTTCAGGCCATTACCAGCCAGCTGTGGATTTAAACAGGCTGGTTACTTGTACACCAAACAGAAAACTCTGAGCTTCTAGCGTCCCATTTAGCATCCATATACTATGAGAGTGGCTTCCCATATATATCCGACTTCTCATCTAGCTACTTTCCTAAAATGTTGACCTTTTAAAACAGACCGCTTTTGTGACCACTGCTCCAACAACTACAGTAAACAGCTTGTAGGGACCTATAGTTTGCTGCCCAGCCGCTTTAACGCCTCACATATAGAAGTGGAGATTGCTAAATCTCACAGGTGTTGCTTGTTAGCAATCAACCTAATTGACTGTCCCTCCAAACAGGACCGAGATTTCTGCCTGCTTCACCCTGAAGACCCGCTGTTCCAGACTTTCTCGGGGGAAACTCTGAGGTACAAAGGAAATGAACCCCTTTATCCTTTCTTCATCAATGAATGTGCTTATTACGAGAAGGGCATCGCTCTGTCGCTGGCGAGAAAAAGGCGCGTGATGATTCCCACAATCCGGGTGCAGACAGAGCACGAACGACAAGCTCACGCACAGGAATTTGCATCAGAGGAAGAGGAGTGAGGATGGACTTTAAAACACACCCGATATGATGAGACTGATGTGACTGTGAAATACATTTTTTACAAAAAAGCTTTTATTGAAATAACAGCAGTTGATTGGAACACACACTCACACACGTGTATGCTCGCTTACACTCACATGATACTTAAGTGTACAATTATTGACCGTTTCAGCTCACAACTGTTAACAAAAGCACAGTCATACATGGACATTGGATGTTATAGCTACGCTACAGGGGATTCAGGGATGGAACAATTGAATTAAAGGGTTAAATATGCAAAATACAATCTGACTTATCATGAGACCCATCAGACCACACATTTCTTTTCACAGACATCCTTTAGTTTTTTTTTTTTAATTATGTATATACATATATCTGCAAACATATATCATAGTTTTTTCTTAGATTAGTTCATTTTTGGAACACTTGTATTTTCAAAAAATAGAAATTCACAACTGAGCACTACAGCAATATTCAGGATATGTTAAAAATAATTTAAGTGCAAAGTAATGCTGTAGTTTATCGCAATATGGCCTTTAATTTACATTCATAATGCCTAACAAGGAAACACCGTTTCCCTTAAATCCTGTTGAATTGAAATGGTGGCAACACATTTTTAAAATTAAACAAATATAAATCAAATACATAACAACAAAATTCACAAAAGGAAACCAATGTATAAGAGCATGTAACAAAACAACCAAACATGAAATGTTGAAAAATCGTTTGAGCTTTCCTGCAAAAGCCTACAAAATCAGTCAGAATGTAAAAAACAAATGCTTGCAAACAGAAAACAATTCATTGAGTAAACAAATTATAAACATAAACACAATCTGACCTTAATAATGGCCATGAATAAATAAATGAAACAAAAAGGGACGCAACTCTTTTTGCAATAACAAAACAATATACACAATAGTCTCTAGTCGTCGCTAGACACCATAGCAAACCAGTCATAATAAACTATCTTGTGGATGTGTAAAAGGTTTTTGTCTTGCTGTCAAACAACATGGATCAAGTGCAACAAAGGGGAAATGTCACCACACCCAATCAATGTGAATCTTGGGTGTAGACAGAAGTGCAATAGACTGAGGAACAAATGCTTTCTGCCAATTCCATATCCAATGTTGTTCTAGTACATATTATGTAGTACTGTACATAATAGTCCCTTTTCACAGCAACCATTTTGACATGTCATAGCAGGGTAAACACTGACACAATTATTGTTGTACCGATTGAAGCGTCGTGTCTTGAAACTCTTTGTCAAGAGTCCACAACTTGATTTCGAGATCATTATGAAATGCGTCTTGGTGACAGAGGAGGGTATACATCTAAAACAGGGGCAGAGATCCAGAGCCGAATCTCAGCCTATGCCACCCGGTAGGCGCTCATGCGGTAGTAGTTCTGACTGTGACTGCGTGCCGCCCACACTAGCAGTGCAGCGGCCATCATGTGGAGCGGCGAGGAAATGAGGGCCAAGTAGAGGGACCAGCCCAGAGAGCCATCCACCTTATCAGGCAGCATCGACACCCTGTGGAGCAAGTCCATCCCAGCCAGGTAGCAGCACACTGTGGCTAAGGTGCAGAGGCCTGCAGGGCACAAAATAAATAAAAAGAATTGCAATAAAACCAAAATTGTGATCTGAAAGACACAGACACTCTTTAAAGCTGATTATCAAAGCATCTGCCACAGATGCACCATGGAAATTGCAACATACAGTATAGTCTGCGCACACAACCTGATTGCTTAGTTGTGGAATTTGACATTATGGGGCCCAGTCATTTTTTTAGCAACACTAGCTGCATGGCTTGAGGGATGGCGATGATTGTCTGTCGGTCCACCACTTTGGTCCAGACTGAAAAATCTCAAATATCAGATGAGTTGCTATTTTGAGCATGTTGGCGTGAGGCATTAGCATTTATGTCAAAGCACAGCCTCACAATGAAGCTTCATTAATAAAAGGTTTAAAAAGTGATAACATTGTATCATCTTCATTATGTCGTCAAAATGTATTATAGACATTTCATCACAACAACATTTTGATTTGCTGTATGTTAATACCTGAATGTATTACTTTGGCCATGTGTTCAATTCGGGAATTTTTGTAGCCAACGTTACTTTTAGGAGACTTGGATCCAAACAGGAGCCCGTATGACTCTAACTTAAAGACCAATACCTTAAACATCGGTTCAAGCGCAAATACCAGGGAGGATTAAAAACTCTCAGTTTTCTGTGGCAGGTAGGTCAGGGCAATCCGATACCCCCCAGCTTAATTAACCATTTGGGTGATTCATACGAAGCAAACTGCCGGTTACAAAGCTGAACAGGTCTTACCAGCCAGGAGGTGAAGTATTCCAATGCCAAGTGTCGGGGTGAGGCTTCGGCAGAGGCTGGCACAGAATCCAGTCAGGCCTGCCAAGACCACCAGACCCAAGGACACCAGTGGCAGCAAAAACTGGCTCCTCCACAAATCTATGCAGACATGCACAAAGACACAAATATGTATGAGTCTGTGTCACAAAGGTCTTAATTTATTCACCTTATGTGAGGAACCAGCCCCGACAGGGGGGGGGAGGGGGGGGAAGTATTATTCAACATCACATATTGCTCATAATGAATGCACTATGCAGTGAAGAGGCTGAACCTAGTTTTTACAGCTTAATGCAATTTATAACATTCAGCCCACTGTTCCTAAACGCTTATTATAGGTGAAATGAAGAGGTCAAATTTCATGTATGCACCTGTACGTATATTATGATTGTAATAAAGTTTGAGGTTTTAACAAGGGTGTTTGTGACTGAACTTACAGGTGCGCAGCATGTCCTCTCCACTGTTGTGGTTGCCTGGTTCTTTATACTTGGGAGTGAACTGCTGAGAGAGAGTGAAGCTTCGACACTCCAGCATCATCGTGGCATCTGAAAGAGGTTATTTATTTACAGTATACGCAAAGAGCCAGTGGCTGAGCATTTACAATTGACTACGAGTCATATAAATACATTAATACATGTGTGATAATGACACTTGTCATGTACTGATAATACATAAGATGGACGAAGTGGCGCTAATGATTTCGGGGTATGCGCCACACCTGGTGGCATCTACCTGAGACAAGGTGGGGCTCATAGTTGAGAGAGCAGCTCTGCTGTGACCTAACAGACATGTAAGCTCGTGACTCATCTGTGTAATGCAAATTGTCCTTTAGCAGGTCAGGGCGGCTAACGTACCTCGCTCTTTGTGCCAGTGAGCGTTGGTAGAAACGAGCACACACCGCCACCAGAGGCCCACGGTCCCGTTGAGGCGAAATAAGGTGTCGCTGTAGGTTTTCTCATCGAACTCCCCGTCCATGAACTCCTCGTACAGTGAGCGCAGCTCGGACACGTTGGCCTCTCCGCGCACGGCGGGGCTGCTGTACTGGTACCAGTGCTGCGTCCCGATGGCCACCGACAGATACACGGTGGCCAGCACGCTCAGCACACAGGCGATGACCAGAGCTGTAGCGTAGCGGTTGTCAACCATTGTTCACCGAGCCAGATACACGTCCAAAAGGGATTAAGTTGACGCCAGTGGTCGGGTCGAGTCGTCACTCATCAATTTGGTCAATTCTGTAATTGCTTTCGGTCACACACACTCTTAGCCAAGTCACTGATCGTGGTCAAGTCAGCGCAATACCCTGTGTAACAGCTAATGACAACCTTTCCTTTTATTGACCGATACTCGTTTCCAGTGCTGTCCTAATAGTCCGCGTCAGCAGCCCTGCAGGCCGGCTTGGATGCGCCATCTGTTCCCATGTCCCACTTCCACAGATGGTGGGTGGCTTGACGCTGCGAGTAAAACACTAACGTTAGTCCGGGACAATAGCCCCCGTTCTTCACCAAAGTCAAAAAAACGGGCCTGTATTAAAGGATGGGCTACGTTATTCCAGCATGGAAATGCAAATTGCATGGGTCTATTTTGGACGGCAGCGTAAAGTCGGGTGCACCCGAGATGATAAGAGTTCTAATACACTAATCCATGCGTTTTCCTTTTCCGGTTCCGCTGATGAGCAGTATCTTTTTTCTTTCTGTTTTTTCGTAAACGTTACTGAGAGGAGTTTTGGGAGCGAGATGAGCAACGCAGTAGCATTATCATATTAGAAAATAAAAGTCTTCAAAGAAATTATTATGAATTCAATATTCATAGGGCTGCAACAACTAGATGTAATGAATATTTCGGTCGCTTAATCCTTATTTGGTTAAAAAGGCCCATCACCATCACAAGCTCCCAGAGCCCATGGTGACTATAGATGCTTTATTTATCCCGACAAAAGTTTTAAACAAAGTAACCGAATAGCTGGCACTATAAGACAAAGTAAAGAAGTACGTTTTCTGATTCAAGCCCAGAACCTGAACATTTTTGGCCTCTTTCCGCGAAAAAATCACTTAAAGATGATCCAAATCGATCAACTCTCCAATTAATTGGCTTTTGTTCAGCTGTATTGGCGGTTTTTAAAACAATTTCTAGCGTGTGAGCTATTTGTGGCAATTAAAGGCATTTGAATATCAATATATTTACTATAATTTCATCATTCATTCAAGAGTCTTGGTCAAACTATCTAACCTTGAAGGTGACTACAGAAAGCAAGACAATATTTTGTAAAGAAACGTTAATTTCTTCATCCCGCAAATAAAAAGCTGAATTAATCAGCAATAAAGCACCCCCTTGTTCAATATACTATGCAGGGATATAGCCAGGATTTTAAAAGGCCAAGCTCCAATTACTTCCCATCCAACCTCAGAAAACCCTGACCACAACACCAAAAGAAACAACTCTAAAACGCAGTATTTTGATTCAAATAATGCATTTTCTTTTTTTATATCAATAGCATTTCCCAACACAAAGCTCTAGATGCTGTTTCAAAAATGTCAAATGAATTATATTCCATTTTAAAACTACTTAAATCAGGCAATTAAAACCCTCATGTGTGATATTTGACTGCAGAATTCCACCAGTTTGCGAAAACTCCCAAATTGATTCTTTTGTTCATTTTGTGAAAGTCATCTGCATCTTTTATTTCTTCTTTAATGACCACTGCAATATTCTTCTCCGAAAAGGAGCAATGGTTGATGCTGGTGTTTACTTTCAGCTGATTTAAGAACAATATGTCTCTTAGGCTGTCTGGTGGTGTTTGAATAGATAGAAGAATCTCATAGGCAAAGTAAACTTTGCACCCCTCCCAGTTCTCTTTCTTAACAAACCTTATTCACTGACACAACAAAAGCTGAGGCTCATTGTAAGTCATTAAACAATCCCTGATACACTTTCACTTTTCCCACCAAAATTGCAAAACATTACAGAAGAGACGATTTCAATTCTTCAAAGATTTTTTTATTCTGATCATAGGAAAGTTTCTGACAAAAATTGTACAAACAACAAGATATCTCACAGAATACAGCAATGAATTGATACATAAATACACCTTGTATGAATAAGAAAATTGACAATGTGCAATGTTTTGACATATATGCCGTGTATATCATGATGATACAAATCTAGGCCTATGTATTGGTTCACGGTTGGGATACACAGCTCATAATAAGCTGCAGTGTTGTTTCTTCAATTAACTTAAGACACTTGTTCCCTTTTTCATGCCAGTGATGGCAGTCATACAATAATGCCTATTCAAACAATTCAAACAGTAAGCAGCAATGATGCCATTGCTGACTTGACAATAGCCATGACAACAGCACAAGGAAGGGTGCAGTGGTGAGACTGATCTTGTGGCTTACTCCACTTGAAAAGTCTGTAAATGTTGAGAAAAGGAAACAAGACATTGCTTTAATTAACAAATAAAATAACAAATCTGTTATATCTAAAAATGTTATGAGGTAGCATTTAATATTGCTTACTTGTGCTATCCACAGAAATGGAGGTGGTGTCAATGTTGAAGGCTGTGATGTTTGAAGCTGCTCTGACCAAAACATTTCCAATCTGAGGGCCATTAGGAACAAATGTTGATGAAAATCCAATGGTCATGTTGTTGATGATTGATCCACTTCTGCAAAAGTAATTACAACACATTGTATTGTTTTACTCGTATGAATTCATGATCAGTGCTTTTATGATTATATCATCACAACATTAACAAATTACCTGAAAGAAATCACCGTCACGGCGCGGAATGTAGGAAATTGTCCTCGGTAGAAAGGTTCAAGCTACAGAAATACAAGCAAATCATTTGTTACTACATTTATTTAATTTGCTTGTTTCTCTTTACTTATGCATTGTCTTTTTAATTATGTTTTTTTTTCTTGCACCTACAACTGCAAGTAGTAACACTATTAAATTTTTTTCAATGACTACCACATCATGTATCTGTGTCCTATTTACTGTATATGGAAGGACAATTTAAATAGTTTTGTCTTTGAAAATTCAACAACTCAACAAAATGCCACTTTTTTCTGTCCATTTTGAAACGGGAAACAATCTATCCTCTATTACTGCTGACTTTATCAATAAGGCTCGGCTTTTGAAACGCTGCAGATTCTGCAAGTCAATTGTAAATGTTTCTCCAGCAGATCTGAAAGTCAATAGCCTTATTATGACTGTCTCAGCAGTTGAAGTGGTAGCCATTACGGATGTGATGGTTGTAGGCGTTGTGGTTGTAGTCAATGTACCATTTGTTGCTGGTGCTGCAGTCGTAGCTGCGACTGTTGTAGGTGAGCAGCCGATGTGGTGGTTGTAGGCATTGTGGTTGTAGTCAATGTACCATTTGTTGCTGGTGCTGCAGTAGTAGCTGCGGCTGTTGTAGGTGCAGCAGCGGATGTGGTGGTTGTAGGCGTTGTGGTTGTAGTCAATGTACCATTTGTTGCTGGTGCTGCAGTCGTAGCTGCGGCTGTTGTAGGTGCAGCAGCGGATGTGGTGGTTGTAGGCGTTGTGGTTGTAGCACTGATTGCAGGGATCATAGTTGTATTTGCAGTAGCCGTAGTATTTAAAGTGGGGGATGCAGTTGTCGGATTTGATGTAATATTTCTTTCTGTAAAAAACAAATAAAGATGGAAGAAATGAATAATGATAGCCAGAGGGACTTCTCTTGAACAAACATAAACGTTACAACATGAGTATAGTTTTGGTAAGTCGCAGTTAAAGTAGTCATGCTAATGTCCCAGCGGATTTCATGGTAATTATGATTGTGTGTGCTCTTTTTCAAACCAGCAATTTGTGAAAAAGGGCTCAGGAAAGGACACACACCAACTCACAGACTCTGATATATGAATTACAAATGACATGGGGTGTATTTCTTTGCTTTAACCATTGGAGTGAAATTCAGGCCTAGTGTTAACTTACGAACTACAGAGATGGAAGTGGCATCAATAGTGAGGTTGAAGGTGTTGTTGGGGTTAGACACCCGAAGTGGTTTGATTAAAGTGGTTTGATTAAACTCAATCCCAATCTCTGCTTCAGTGTTAGTCATTCGTGTTCTGGTCTGAGCTTGTCTGCATCAAGAAAGAACATAGTTTGATAAAATCCAAATAACATTGACAACTTATGCATACATGTATGTGTAATATTTCATTCTTTTGTGTCATTACTGGGTTTAAACTCACTGAATTAGCCTACAAATATGTTTCCTGGATACAACTAGCATCACTCATTTGATATTATGTTTAAATTTCAGGTGTAGGCTAATGTGCTAGATAGTTTGTTTTCGTTGCTCAAACGTGACATTTTAACATCAAGAATCTTTAGTTGATATTGTAGACATTTTAAAGAGGAACCAAAGTGTAACAAAATCTCAATTTCCTGGTTGCAGCAGCAGCTGTTGATGCCAACACAGCCAGGTGAAGCTGAAGGGTCTCAGCTGAGCTCTGATGTCACAGTGAAATGTTTTAACTTCAGAAATTAGTTGAAAAATAAATAATGTTGCTGAGCACTTTCATGGTTAAGTTAAGTTAGTAATAGCTGCAGTAATGTATACTGTAATTTGTACAGCTATTAAGATGCCATGAAAGTGTCAATAGGTTTACTGTGTCTCTATCATACATCAACTTATCTTTGTATTACCTGCAGGAAACATCATCAAAGAGTTTATCAGGACAGCAGGCTGAAGGAAGAGCAGTTGGAGCCGTGGAGTCTCAGGTAAGATCTAACAGTGGCTCATTTATAAGATGTTGACATTTCTTTGAGGTTCATAAAGATGGTTATGTTACATATTCAGAATATTGATTGATAGGGCTGTATCTACCAATTATTATGAATTATCTGACTTTGCTTTTGTTGATTGATTATTTTAAAAATATATAAAATAGTAAACAGTGCAAAATGTCCATCACAAGTTCCCAAGTTGCTTGTTTAGTTTGACAAAGGAGTCCAAACTCAATGATATTCAGTTAAGTATCATTAAACAGAGAAAACCAGCACATGTTAACTTATGATGGATAATATCACTTATATGAATGAAATATTATATATTATTATTATTATTTGTCATGTTTGTAATTGTGTGTTATAGTGGCCTGTACTGTTACCTAACAGAAAGAAAGAGGGGCCCGGCTTTGATCCCTTCTGTGTGGAGATTGCTTGATTTATGATAAGTTGGTGTATAATAGAGGCACAGTAAACCTATTGACACTTTTATGGTATCTGTAACTGGTGTGGTAAGGAACCAAATGCAGTACGACGGACACACGGAATAGTTGAAACGAGACTTTATTCCAGGCAGAACATACAACAGGCAAACAGTCTTGGATCTGCACACATGTAGAAATCCACTCAGTAGAACGCCAAGCCATCAGGGGAGAAGGCAGACAGAAACCAGAGGAAGCAAAGGCAGAATCTCTTGGTCGGGGACAGAAGGCTGAGTCGTTTCCCGGGGCTGAGGCGAGGCAGAAAAGTCCAAACAGGCCGGGTCGCCAACGGGAAAACAGTTGGAAGGTAAACGCGGGGAAAGTCTGGCATAATGCGGAGAATGATCTGGCACTGTTAGGGCAGCAGAGTGAGAAAGAGTGACAGGAAAGAAGGGGCAGAGCTCTGACAGTATCTTAATTGCTGTACAAATTACAAATTACAGTATAAATTACTGCAGCTATTACTAACTTAACCATGAAAGTGCTCAGCAACATAATTATTTATTTTTATTTATATTACTTATTATTGACCACTTTCTTTGTCAACTTAAACAAAAGGAGAATGTTGCATTTAATGAGTAAATGGTAAGTTTCTAAGAACATTTATGGTAAAGATTATGCTTATTGTAGTAGCCTTACGTCTTTTTCAACATAACTGTATTTTAAAATGCTTCTTTTTAGCGAGAGCCATTGCGTAAACGGCTCGTCACCAGAGTCTTCCACAAGCTGCTAGCTTGACAGCTGAGAGTACTAACAATCACCATGTTTGTTGTTTACGTTCATTATATGTTTGCGTTCATAATGCTAATTTTGGTGAAGTGACTTTTGAGGAAGGCCTGAAGGGATAGGCTGTCAGTGGTGGCAACTATCTTGCGAGATGTAGCAACTTTTAGAGCTAGTGTTGCTTGCTACTTTCATTGGAAAAGGGATGGCAACATTGTGCAGTTTATCGGCTGGATGATTATTTAAATCTAGCGTACTCTTGCTAGTTGCTCAAGATTACCAATCCTGCCTTCAATGTTCTTTTACATTAAACAGGCCTTGATGCATTTTGTATTTACCCACCAAAATTGCAAAACATCACACAAGAGACGATTTCAATTCCTCAAAGATTGTGTATTGTGATCATTGTAAATGTTTTGACAGAAATTGTACAAACTAAAATAAATATCCCAGAATACAGCATGATTACATAAATACGCTTTCTATAAATATGAAAATTGACAGTGCATTATTTTGACATATATGTATACCATTACCTTTGATATAACCTCCTTCAAACAAGGGTGAAAGTGATTTCCAGTGTGGCTAGTTTTACTTTTTTGGCAAACAAGCCTAAACAAGACAGCATTAGTAACTGTCATTATGTTAAATATTGGTAAAGCTCAGTGCTCACGGAAGCAAAAGTAATTTTATTATTAATTGTGCCATCATTTTACGACATCCCAGGGTTTCCGATTATGTTGTTTATCTTATTATTCTAGTGATGTCTCAAATAGACCTGGTGCTTAAAGTTGGCTATGTCATTTCATCCGGTCCATGATCCTGGACATTCCCACACAGACACTTGTTTAGTTAGACAGACATACCTAATCCTCTTTCATTAATGTGTCCACTTATTGCAAATGATTAATTTGATAGTAAGTTTATCCGAATATGTAAAAGACTTCTACTACAAGAATCCTAGATTTTTACTAACAACAAAGTCATTTTTCATACCAGTGATGGCATTCATGTATTGATGTAAAGTCAAATGGAAATCAGCACTAATGCTATTGTTGGCTCGACAGTAGCCATGACAACACTACAAGGCAGGATGCGGTGATGAGATTCATCTTATGACTTCCACTTGAAGCTGTCGTTGCTTCAGTTGTTGTTGGGGGAGCAGTTGTTGTTG